GGTAAGGTGAATAACCTTTAAATGGCTGTCTATCAAAGCTCACAACTTGAGCTTCAGTTTCTTTTTTCTTCGGGACTCTTTTACTAGATGCTTTATTTTCTTCTAGCTTGCCATTCTTGATGGCGCTTTCAATGATTTCTTTCGAGATTACCATATCAATAAAATTTTTCATTGCATTCCCTATCATCTTTTCATAATAGAGAGGTTTTAAAATATTAACAAACAGCACTGTAATTTCTTTCTCAGTCAGAGAAAGTTGTACCTGAGAAGCAACATCCTTTCATCTCTGGGCATACTCTTTAAAAGACTTGTTTACCCTTTTTTTCCAGATTTTGTAAAGACAAACGATCAGGAGTTAAATCGATGATATATCGATATTGACCGATAAAGTCATGTGCCATATCGCTCTAAGAGCGAATGCTAGTTCTGTCCAGCTGAACATACCATCTGACCGTAAAACCAGTAAGACTGTCTTGAAAAATATGCATCAAGAGTTTTTCATCATGCGCATGAGCTGTCATCTTCCTGTAATACATGGTGATGTGGGTTTTGAGGCACTTTGTATCGTCATATTTTTCAAATTTTGATACTTTAAACTTATGGGGAATAACCACATCAGGAACTAGGCAGAGCCCAACAGCATCAACTGACCCATAAAAACTAAATCCTTTCACAACCCGTAACCTTTGCTCTAGCATGCTAATCTTGGAGCTTTCTTGAACTTCCACTCTTATATTTTCTTTCTCTTTCTCTTTTAAATCATCTAGATTAGGGATTGGTTCTGCGACTTTTTCAATGAAGATAGGATTTACATAGCTGTTATCTACCTTGGGTTAAAAGCTGATGGCATTCCCGGATATGTCGAATATACGAAGTGTTGTGGTGGGACCTCTTGAGCAGACTGGGCTTGAAGTGGACCAAAACCTGAAGGATACAAAGGGTCAACCATTTCTTGTAATAGAGGAACTTGCTGGCTTGTACTTTTTTTAACTCATTTTCCTTTATTCATGTTATTAAGAGCCTCCAGAATCTTGCTTAGCTCACTTTCAATCTTCTCCTGTACTTTTTCTATCTTTTCAAATTTATGAGAATTTTTTTGCTTCATTTGTCTTGTTCTGAATCTTGTGTTGTGTCGATGGGCAGGATTTTCTCTAGATGAAGCTATCTTGAAACCTTGAGTACCATATCTTAGAATTAGTAAATGATCATCACATGGTTACTTTGTTAAGTGTAATGAATGAGAATGTAATGAATGAAAAATACATGTATGCAGAGAACATTTGCCTTAAAACGGTATTCAACTAAAAAATTTCATTTATTCCAAAAAACTTTGATCTACATTGAGTTTATCATCCTAGAATTATAGCCATAAAATTGTTTGATCTGTTCATACTGGGCCTTGGCTTCTTCTATGAAGTTCAAGAGACGCTATCCATGTTCTCCTACTGGGGCCACCACTTGTCTTAATGCCTCTGCCTCTTCCACCATCTCTCTTGCCTTACATACCCCTTTATGGATTTGGGTTGTTAAATGCTTAATGTATTTCTGCCTTCTTAAATTCTCTCTTTTATCACACCAGACTTGGTATGATAATTCTCTATGTTCTCTAACCAATGCAGCGATGCGGTCTCCTTGTTCATCTAACTTTTGATTTAGCCTGCTCAAATAACTATTTAGCATGTTAATTTCTGCCTGTGCTTCGGTACTTTCTTCTTCCAATTTGGTATACTCTTGCTTTAATCTTGTATTTTCCTCAGTAAGCTCGACAATGGTTATCTCTTTGGCTCTTTCTCTCACACATAGCCCCTTATGCTCCTGGTGTAACTTTACTAAATCTTCAGTAGCTGTATCCCGTTCTCTAGCAATCTTATGAACTTTAACTTCATAACTTTCAGCTCTACCTTTCCACTGGGCTTTTTCTTCTTGAGGTTCCTGAATCTCTTTTTTTAACTTGATCTTCTCAAACTCAAATTCTTTTGTTGCCAGCTTTAACTCTGATGGTGTCTCTTCAAGTTTTTCTTTTATTGGTGGTTGAGAGATTTCATAAGTGAATACCATTTCTTGTCTTCTCTTTGTTCTCTAAACCAAGTAACCTGGGGTGACTTTTTCAGTGAATGGTCCAGGACTCATTCTTTGGGGATTTTTCCATGCTTTGATCATCTCATTCATCCTCTGAAATGCTTTAGGCTCACTGTAAGAGAAATCTAACTGATGAAGCCCATAAGTCATAGGAATGAACTGTTTTCCCCCCAATTACCTTCTCACTAGGAGTGGTGCATAATTCGTCACTCCTCATAAACCCAGAAGCGAAACCACTGTACTATCCCCACATTGGTATAACATAGGCTCACGATTCATCCAAGGGGCTAACCATCTCACCCTGGCACTTTCTAATTTTTGTAAGAAAGTTATCCATTCTTGTTTAGACTTACGCTTTGACCACCCACTTTCGCAGAATTTCTTGATTGGAAAATGATTACGGATGTAAAGCTTCGAGAAAGTGTCATTTCTTTGTTCAAAATAACTTTTCATCCATAAGTACAATAACTGTATGCATCCTATGAAGCACCCTCTATTTCGACGATAATAACTCAAAGATCTGATATTTTCTACTAATATCACCGTTGAAAGATTACAGCCATTGATCACACTTTCAAAGAAATCAACCACCGCTATCTCAATATGTCTCAAAACCTTTGGAAAGATTACCAGTCCGTATATAGCCAAGACAAATATGTCTAACCCCCGTTCTTCATTGGCATGTTGCATCAGAAACTCATGAAAGAACTTTTAAGGTAGGCAAACCTGTTCCTGTTTCTTTTTTGTATGAGAATTCATAACTTCCTTGTCTATCCCCATGAGTTGAGCCAGACTTTTACGAAATCTTGACTTATGTTTTTTGACATATATCTTGTTAGGAGTCTTGAGATGCGAACCCAACAAGATCGAATATTCTTTGATGGTGAGAGTCATATCAGCTTCATTAAAGATGAAACACTTGTATGCAGGATCCCAGAATTATGTTACAACTCTAATTAGTTGATCATCAACAACCACTGCTAGAAGGTGTGCTATATGCTCATGTTTCTAGCAAAACTGCTCTTGTCTTGACGGACTCATCTTCTTTCAGATATCAACCAAATCCTTTAAATTGTTCTGTTTGAGGAGGATAGATGTTTCTTGAGATATAGTAGAATCATACTCAATTGGCAAGCAATCTCTCATCTTCAGTTGAGTTTTTTCTGACTGGGCCCTTACTTTATTGGGTGCCCCACAGGGTGCTAATACTAATGAAGAACAAACTAAGCGTTCATTGGCGTCCATGAAAAAATTTGTTGAAGAAAGTTTTTCAAGCAAATGTTCTTTATGCAACTTTATGATATGCGTATGAACCAATGCAAAAGAAATAAGAAAAAGCTTAGTATACCCAGAAAAAGAACAAATAACTAAGTAAATTTAAACATCACACAAAGTAAAAGGGATGAATCCTATGCTTTTGGTCAATTCTAAAAGGGAAGAGTGACGGCTCTATCTATAGGTTAGGCACTCTTAAGGTTCACTATATGCGGTTTTAGGGTCAAAGTCTAAAGGTCCTCAAATTGTTCCTTACATCTTTGTCCATCACAGACTAGTAAGGCACCCTAATCCTCACCCATTACAGGCTACAAGCGAAAAAGGTTCAATTTGAGTGGGAGTATTTCGCTAGCCACTGCGGAGGTATTAGACCTCACGAAAGCAATAGGTATTTTACTCCCTCCTAGAGGGACGGAGCTCGGGTATAGAGCTCATGTTATGCACATGCACATGAATGACATAATTAACAAGGTAAATAAACATGAATGAATAATAATACATATATACAAAAGGGTTCAATTTTATTAGGCTTTTGGATAACACAAATTATTTGTTGGCCTGACTCTCAAAGTCCCCAACGAAGTCGCCAAGCTGTCATAACGTCTA